GTTGTTAGGGGCAAGATTGCATTTATGAGCATAGCTCAAGTTTGTTAACTGCCCTGTTCAAATAGTGACTAGCTTTTGTCTGATTGATATGTCAGTTTCCGAAAGCAGTATATGAAAATCTGAAAAAGGAACAGTTATAGATTTACAAATTTTATGTGATAAATTGGCAGTTTGTAATGTGAACATCAAGTTTTATGTGTATATAGTTTTATGTGCAACATATGTTGCTGTACTTTTCTGATTTGTTCCTTCAGCACTACTGAATGACCAGACTCATCCTGTATTAGTTTTCAAGGGCCGTTGTAACTAAGCACCACAATCCAGATAGCTTGACAAGAGAAATGCCTGGGCTCACAGATCAGGTATAGAAGAGTTCGTTGCTTCTGAGGCTGTGGGGGTGTGATGTGCTCTAGGCCCCTCTCCTCAGCTTATCGATGTCTGTTTTTATGTTCCCAAGGTGTACTCCCTGTGGGTATCTGTGTAGCTGTCTCCAAATTCCCCCTCTTCATAAGGAAACCAGTTATTTTGGATTAGGATCCACCTTAACTCAACATTTTAACTCAACTGTCTCTAGATATCTCTCTAAATAAGGTCACATTTTAAGGGACTGGGGGTTAGGACTCAACATATAAATTTTGCGGAAACACAATCCAACACATAACAATCTTCTTTCAAAAATCATTAAAATATGGGATAACTCCCTTTATCTCTTTGGCTCAACATTTTTGTGACATTACGTTTTAGTTTTGGTGTGTGTGTGTGTGCGTGTGCATTTGTGTATATGTATATATGTTTGTATATATAGTTTTTTTTTTAACAATCTAAGACTGGATTTTGTCAGATGAGCAAATGTTTGTATTTAATGATTTCAAATATATTTAAATTTATTACCATTACATTCATTTTTTTCCACTAACCAAAGTTTTAATATCTTTACCTTTCTTACCTCCTTTTGAATTGATCACGTTTTCCTAAATGAAAATCATCTGTTTCAATCATTTCAGTTATTACACTTCAAAGTTTTAAGTTTGTGGTTTCTTTACTGGCACAGGCCAAGTGTTTTCATTAGTTTTGTGGCGGGATCTCTACACCTCAATGATTATGTAAATTTAAACTTCACATCTTTACATGGTCTTTAACCATGACCAACTTCAATGTTCTCCAGAATCATCCACATACATCTGTGTGCGCTCCAGGCTTGTTCCCTCAGCAATGTCTCTATAAACACCTCTCTTCCTAGTTATATCCATTGGATGCTTTTCCTTTATAAATTGTTTTTCTTTTTTTGTTTTGATTTGGGTTTTTTGTTTGTATGTTTGTGGACAAACATCATCCTATTCATTTACTTTAGGCTGAGCTTCCCATACCAATCACATTGTTCCATGCCCTGCCAGCAAACTATATTCCTTCTTCCACATGCTTTTCCAGAAAACAGATTGCTTGATAGTTTTCAATGTTTAAAGGATTCTAGGGCTCCAAAACACCAAGTTTTCTTTAATTAGACTGAGTCCTGATGTTCCCAAAATATTGTTACTACTTCACATGGGTAATTTATATCAGTTTATTTAGCCTTTATTCAACGGGTTTAGTCTGACATGGCATTTTCTTTTAAATTTTAAATAATTGGAATCTATACCAATCTGAAATTCACTAGAATTCTCATTTTAACTCCTCTTTGTCCTGGAGGACTATAAAAGCAAGGTCTGTGTTGTTTGCACACCACCAGATGCCTTCCCCTGTGTTGGTCAAGTAGATGCACTCTTGGTGAATGACCCATTGAAAATATTCTTAAGTAATGAACCAAAAGGCAACCATCAGAATGCAAGAAGATATTTGCAAATGACATATCAGATAAAAGGTTAATATCAAAATTTATAAAGAACTTCTCAAACTCAAACCCTGAAAAACAAACAACCCACTGAAGAAATGGGCAAAAGACATGAACAGACACTTTTCCAAAGAAAACATCCAGATGGCCAACAGACACATGCAAAGACACTTAACGTGCCTCGTCAGAGAAATACAAATCAAAACCACAGTCAGGTACCACCTCACACCTGTCAGAATGGCTAAAATGAACAACTCAGGCAACAACACGATGCAGAGAAAGGGTCACACCTTCTGCACTGTTGGTAGGAATGCAAAATGGTGTAGCTGCTCTGGAGAACAGTATGGAGGCTCCTCAAAAAGTTAAAAATAGAACTACCCTACAATCCAGCAATTGCACTATTTTTATTAGAAGAATACAAAGATGTTGATTTGAAGGGACACATGCACCCCAATGTTTATAGCAGCATTACCAACAATAGTCAAATTATAGAAAGAGCCCACATGTTCATTCACTAATGAATGGATAAAGAAGATGTCATATATGTATACAATAGAGTACTACTTAATGATAAAAAAGAATGACATCTTGCCGTGTATAACAATGTGACTGGAACTAAAGTGTATTATGCTAAGTGAAATAAGTCAGTCAGAGAAAGACAAATATATGATTTCACTTATATATGGAATTTAAGCAACAAAACAGATGAACGTCGGGAAAAGGAAGGAAAAATAAGATAAAAATAAGATAAAAACAGAGAGGAAGGCAAACCATAAAGGCCTCTTGAAAACAGAGACCAGACGGGGAATTGCTGGGGGGAGATGGGCTAGGCAGGTGATGGGCATGGGGAAGGTACTGTTGGGATGGACACTGGGTTGTAGGTAAATGATGATGAACCAATGGGTTTTACTACTGAAGCAATACTACATTGCATGTGAACTAACTTAAATTTTTTCAGTGTTTATTTATTTTGAGGGAGAGAGAGACAGAGTTCGATCAGGGGAGGGGCAGAGAGAGAGGGAGACACAGAATCTGAGGCAGGCTCCAGGCTCTGAGCTGTTAGCACAGAGCCCCATGCGGGGCTTGAACTCATGAACCACGAGATCATGACCTGAGCCAAAGTCGGAGGCTTAGCCAACTGAGCCACCCAGGTGCCCCACATGTAAACTAACTTAAATTTAAATACATAATAAAATAAATATAAATAAATAAATAAATAAAATAAAATTTTAATTTACATTTAAAAAAGTGTTCTTAAGTAATTGTTCCACAGGAGAAAAAAGTTGACATGATTTAAATAATCTCTTTCCCTTTTAGAGAAGACAGTTTTGTTCTTTAAAAAAAAATGACACTATGAATTAGTGTTATTTATAATATTCATATATTATACTAATGTACATTTTATGTATTCTAAGTAGTTAACAACCGATTTTTATCCAACAATGTGATACATAAGAGATAGAACCATACAATTTATTTTAAATTTTGAGTCAGAGATCCTTCCTTAAATGATCTTCATTCATTCCTACTACTTGAGGATATATTCACACACAATGAATTAAGAATACTGTCCAGAGTCCATTGACCAAAACATGGATGATGGGTAGCTAGACAAATGACGAATAAATATAGACAGTATATACCCTTTCCAAAGATAAAAATACAATTAAAATTTTTTCATATTAGATTTTTCCCATACACACAGATTCCAAATGTACACCAATATTTAGTTGCAAGATATAAGAGAAGATAATACTATTTTAACTTTTATTATTATATAATATATAATATAAATAGATGTCATAATATTGATATGTATATAATAATACATATTATATATGCCAAATATATATATAACAGATATATATATATTTCTGCTTATAATTAAGTTTAAAGAAATTCTCTTCACTTGTTTTATGAAATATAGTTAGCATACAAATTGAGTTTCATAATTTGGGTTAATATAATATATCCTATACCTCTAGTTAATGTTTGAGATGCAGATTTAAACTGATTCATTTCTGATGCTTGAAGCAAAAGTCTGTATATTATCTAATACAAGGGCTAACAACACCACATATAGTTATATTTATGATAGAAATGTTAGCACTACTTATGTTTCGTACACCACTCTTCAGTTTGTATATTCACGAAGAACAAATTGGTTTTAGGTTGCTTTTTACACACTCTATCATGCCAATAAGTGTTGAGGACACTGAACCAAATATGGCTCTTCAAAAAGTGCATCTTTGCTAAAATGGAAGATTTCTATGTGAGCTAGCCATGAACTTGATTTAATTTACTAATAAATTGCATTTTCTTTGCAAATAAAAATGCATTATACATGACATTGGACAAGAATATCCGAAGGAATTACAGTTCAATTACAGTTCAGGAAGTCTATATTACCATCATTTCACAAATAAATTAAAAAACAGAAACAAAAACAAAGACCTCCTTACCCAAATCCCCAACAATTTTCCTACCTCTGCCTCCCTAACATGCAGATCTAGATAACAGACCAGTCAACATAAAGACTCATTCTTAAACACTGTTATTTGCCTTACACGAGTGTTACATAAAGACTGTTTGTCAGGTAAACGCTCTATTTTTAATTGCCAGTCTCAAAACCTGTCTACACCCCTCGAAAAGATGGCGTGTAGCTCCACGTGCAGTGTGGCCACCTACGTATAGAAGAGAGAGAGAGTAGACATTAAAGAGCCCCTGAAAGAGAGGAGATATTTTCCTACCTTTTCACACAAGCAGACAACCTGGCTAAAAAACTGCTTTTCTTTAGCGGAGAACATCAGGAAAAGACTGAGCCCAAGAATGCTTTCATCTTCTTTGCGTACACCTCCCTATGGATGCCTCCTTTGTCCCAGATGACAATAGCGTCACACATAAGAAACATTAAATTTCACCTCCAGCAGATTTCATTCCAGCAGAATATAACATAACAAATTCTGTTAACCAAGACTTTGGATTTTCAATGTTTTATGGTTCCTCAGAATAGACACAATCACTAAGGAAGAAACATCACACTTGTGTTGCATAGAAAACATACAGAAGAATACACACACACACAAAGATACACGCACACACACATACAAAACTGAAAATAAAATTCGCATTGGACTGCAGAAACGGAATACAAAGGTTGATATACCCTTGGGAAATAGTTGGAATTTTTATTGTGTGCAATGTTACTTTTAAAAATGAGACATTTGAAAAAACATAGTCAAAGAAATGAAATACAGTAAAATGAATAAAGCAAAAAAGTAATCTGTATGATTATATTATAACCATATCTGTAAAGGTGACTGAATTTTCCAATGGTCGACTGACAGACAAGTTTTAAAATTCCCATGTTTCATTTTAAATGATAATTTAATGCTGCTGTTTTGATATATGCTTATGTTTAATGAGCCAAACATATTGATCAGGTGGCATCCAAGTTAACATGTGTCAGGGTATACAAAAATAACATGAGATATCATGTAGGTCTTGCTTCAACTTAAATAAAATAATAAAATGGCAAGTGGATATGATGAGAAGCCTCAAGTCTTAGGTGTGTTACTGTTCTTTGCGATCTGTTTGCTCTGGTTTGGGAGGAACAAATTATACTTCCATGAGGTTTAGCTTCATTCCACTTTGTTGGGTTTTGAAAGGCCACCAAATGTCAAGCTTTGGGACTTGCTAAGTTTTGCCTTTCAAGACATAATTAGAAATTGTTTTGTATTTAATAAAGCATCCAACATCAAACCTTTAGGACATATTGAGTTTTGCTTGTGAACTTTTTTGTAAAAGTTATTTTGGATCTTGGGAGGGGATCGCTAGCACATTTTAAAAATAATGCCATGTATCATCAAACTCCAAAAACATCTTTCTTCACTCGTAATACTAAAACCATGAGACTGTTTTGACTAAAATGAGCCCTGAACTCTACAGAGGGCTTCTACATAATGGGAGATTATGCCTGTTGTTAAATGTCTATTTTGTAATTGGAAATCACTAGAGTTTTCACCCTCAGAGCCCCCCTGTGCAGGACACTACACAAAATCTTTTCTCAAAAGTTCTAGAATAAAGACTTTTTTAAGGAAATCTACCAACAACTGCAACCAAACCCTACATATGGGCACATGTATTTTAAAAGCATTTATCATGAGAAACTCACCTAATTTACTAAATATCCAATCCTGAGTATACCTAAACCTGTTGTCTATTGGGCTGTATTTATTTATTTTTATTTTCTATATTGGGTTGTATTTGAGATGCTATACATAGTGCCAAAATTAGAAGAAAGCTCATAAGCACCACCTTTTGTTAAAGTCAAAGACGTTTTCAATTTTTCTGACAGTAAATTCAGATTTTAATTGTTCCTGAGTTGCTCAGACTTGGAAAATTTCAATTTCGACATCTCACACATGACGAGAATGACATGTAAGGGAAAGGCAGGTATTGCGCAATGCTCCTTTGAAGGCTCCTTCCCTTCATAGTGTTTGTATTTCTCAGCCAAATGTAAAAAATAGCAGGCTCTCCCAAATAATGATACTTTCTCTGCCTTCCCCTTAATATTCTCCAAGTTAGAGCCTAGTGATATTCAAGGTGAAGTGTCTTTCCAGCAAAATCTGGCCATTATCTAGATTCTAAATGTGAGAGAAAGTGGAATGAGGGAAGTAGCATTGCACGTTGTGCCAAAGCTATCACAAATCTTTCCCAATGTTTTCTCTGAGTGCAAATCCCATTCTCTCAAAATTCCAGGAAATCATAAAATCTCTCTGAATTTTGAAATGAGAGCTTTTCCGCAATACTCAGATCTAAAATAAAAATTACCACATGATATTCTTTTTTTCCATGTATGGTAAAGAAAACTGGTAGCTTTGAATAAGAAACATTTCTTACAATAAAATAATTCCTATGTACTTTATAGACTTGAATTTTTGCATTACTTCAATGTATATTAGAAGATGAAAAGATACAAGATCTTCAGTAGGTTGAAGAGTTAAATGAACTAATTTGTCCGTGATTTCTGTGCCGGGAGTGTGATTCTAGGTGAAATGTGCTGAAGTCCTATGTGCCTGACTGCCTTTCCCTGAGAAGTTCCCTGCTCAGGGCTCAAGAGCGATGACACTAGTTAGCGTTTCTCTGGGGAATCAGCTGGCATTGCCGGATCTCTGCAAATTGGACAACAGGTTCCTTTCACCAATTCAATTCTGGGGCATGCAGCCAGGGGACAAGTCTCCACCATGCAGGTGACCTGGCCACTCTGAAAGGCAATATTCAGTGATTATTTCCATGTATCTTACAGTGGTTTCACCTTTTTAAAAGTTTCTTAGGATACATACTCTGATCGGCTATCTCAATATGATTAAAATTACCCATGATATGAGCTAATTTTAACATGTACTTCTTACTAATGCTTTATTTCTAAATTTGCAGCACAAAAAAAGAGAGTGGAAGTTCTGGCCTATAAAAGTTTGCCTCCCAGACCGTGGGGCATGGAGTATAATGTGCATGAGGAAGCTCATAGGTTTTCATTGCAGGGAGAGGCAGGAGCAATTGGGATTGCTTTGTTCACAAAACAAAGACTGAGCTTTTCTGTTTTGGTGGATACCATGCTACACTTTTTCGTATTTCCCAAGTGCTTTCAGGCAACACCATAGTGAGCCTGACTAGGGAATCAGGAGACAAATTCAAGCCACATTTCTGTGTCTGTTTACTTGTGTGACCTTGGGCAAAGTCCACTCAAAATTGCGAGCATCAGCTCTCTCAATTAATAATGAAAACGTGAAAAGTCCGTGTGGTATTTCACAAGTGCTCCTGAGGTAGTGGCCATATTTACATCGATAACCAGACAACTCAAGATCTCACATCAAAATCTTGACCTTGAAAATATGCCTAAAATCTATTCACAAAAAAGACCTTTTTCTCTCTTTTGGATATTTCAGGTCTGTCTCAAGTGGCAGGCTAGCCGGAGTGAACCAGGAGGAGGAAGATGGAGAAAGTGCGGGCAGCGCATACCTTACACTTACAGCTAATGCAATCTTCTTTCATCCAGTGCTCATTGTCTTTCCTCCGAATCCCTTTATCATCTGTGCATCCCTCCTGCCTGAGGCGTGCCTCCAGCTTGTTTATCTGACAGAGGAGGTGAAGGAAAGGCAAGTGGGAATTGAAACAGTGGCAACAAAGCAGATACCTAACACAGCTTGATGAAATGCTCTACTGTGTAAGCACACACCTAGGGGGCAAAAGAAACTTCAAAGCCAACATAATTTTTCTTAACATTTTTTTTTTACCCAAAACTTAACGAATCCGAGAAATCCAGTGTCTAAGCTAAAAATTCCCCACATGTGGCAAAATACTGAAGATGGATCTAATATCTGAAACAGGTAAGTTATAAAGGAATAGACTTAGAATTAAATGAGTAAAATGATATATATGAAAAATATCTTCTCAGTAGTCATTCATATTAATTCAACAAATCAATAGTCTGTTTATTTTTTGTACTTAGGTTATCCTAAACAGCATTCTTTGAACAAATGTTTATTGGATTTCAAAGATAAAGAAACCAATCCAGGGTCTCAAGGAACGTAAGATTTGGTAGAATGACAGATCAATAAATCACAGTGCTAAGCCAGTTAGATGATGAGGGTATATCAAAAGCAGAGGAAGAGCAGAAAGCAACCCTCTCTCGGTTCTGCCTCAGGGAACAAGGGAGGCCTCACATGGGGAAAAGCGTTCGAGCTACATATGACAAAATGATCCAGAACAAGCAGGGAAAAGGCATTTGAGACAACAGGGAGGAAGTCTGACCAAAGCACGGGGACCACAAACAGGTCGGAATCTCAGGGGTATAAATCGCTGTGGAAGGTAAAACGCCCAGGGGGAGTGTTGAGGGAGTCAAGGCAGCAAAACAATTAGGACCTTAACAGTCTGATGAATTAATTTTGATATGACAGTGTCTAGTCAGCGGGGGGAAATTGCAGTGATCACTGTAATGGCAATATGAAGGCAGACCAGTGAGAGTGGAGGAGGTCCACACGGGCTCAGCTGGGAAGGGGAGAGGTGACAGTGGGAAAAGCCACTGAGCAGGTGGGGCCGCCCGGTGGGAAGAGGGGGAGGGAAGGGAGAGACATGCAAGACTGCAAAGTGCCAGCTTTCATAAGGCGCTAAATGATGATGACAATCGCCAAGATATATTCTAGAGAATACATTACGAAAGAGTAATGATCCACCGAGAAATTTAAGATGCTTAATTTAGAGGAATTTTAGAAAGGATGTCTAACCCCCAATACCTCAGAATGGGACTGTATGTGGAGACAAAGTGCTTAAAGAAGTAATTAACTTAATGCGGTGCTTGGGTGACTCAGTTGATTAAGTGTTCAACTCTTGGGTTTGGCTCAGGTCATGATCTCAAGGTTCATGGGTCTGAGTCCCACATCGGGCTCTGTGCTGATGGTGTGGAGCCTGCTTGGGATTCTCTCCCTCTCTCTCTCTCTGCCCCTCCCCAGCTCAAGGCTCTCTCTCTCTCTCTAAAAATAAATAAATGAACTTAAAAACTTTTTTAAAAGTAATTAACTTAAAATGTGGTTATAGAGATGCGGCTTAATCCAGTGACTGGTGTCCTCATGAGAAGCAGACATTAGGGTCCAGACACACAGTTGCAAGTCTGTGTGAAGATACAAACCAAGGAGAGAGACCTCAAGAGAAGTCAAACTTGTCAGCACATTAATTCGGGATTCCCAGCCTCCAGAACTATGAGAAATAAATTTCTGTTGTAAAGCCACCTAGCCTGTAGTATTTGTGATGGTAGTGCTAGCAAACTAATATGTCATCGTTAGCACTAGATCCCATATTCCCAAAAGAAGTTTCTAGTGTATATCTAAGAATCACTATGTTTTTATCCTCTAGTGAACATTTCTTTCAGATTCTCTGAACTCTGTTATTTGGTTGGTAACGATACAATAATTTCAAATACTTGACCATAATTCTTTATATGTGACAGAAATTACTGTGCCCAAGAAAAATTTGGAGACGAACAATAGACCAGATTAGATGTCTTGAAGACGTAAAAGCAATAATTGGTTTTTAAATGTTTATTGAGCACCTATTTGTCAGCTAGTCCTAGGGGAGACTACAATGATAAATATTCCTGGGTTTCTATTCTTAAGGAGTCTGCAATGTAGAAAAGGAGAGTGAATTTGTGCAAAAATAAGTCTGATACAAGCCCAGATGTTGTGCGTTATAAGAACATATACATAATGGTATGGCATTTCAAGGAAAAACAACTATTTCTAGAAAAATGGAGTAGAAAAGGGAGTAATCAGGGAAGAGTTTAGAATTTAAATGGTACTTGTGCTAAGCCCTGAATAAAGATGGCACTTGGCCATGGGAGTATTTATGTACATGAACATGTGGGTGAGGGGACAGTACACTTCAGGTAGAGTGAAAATGGGTAAATGAAGTTGATAAGAGGGGAGGGTGAACAGTGAGTTTTTAAGTTTGGGGGAAAAACATAAAACATGTGAAAAAGGTTATTTGGAACTTAGATTTTAAAATGGGTTAGGGCTACATTTTAAAGAGCCAAGAATACTTGTGAACTTGAAATTCATGAAGAAAACAAAAAACTCTTGATGTAAAAATAAATAAATAAATAAATAAATTTGGTTGTGTTAAATATCTGACCACATTTGGGTTGAAGGAGGACAGCAGGATGGCCTTTGGGGGTAATTTATTACCATCATGCCTACACTTGGGAAGTGACATCCATTGTTCATTAATTTATTCATTACCCAATAGGATTATTAAGTATCCAGTATATGCCAGCTAAACACTGATTAACCAGAAGACTAAATCTATGGCTTTACGTGAGCAGTGAGAATGGAGACGATTGTAGGAGAAACTAAAAATTATGAGGGAGGAAGGAATGATGGGGTTTTACAAAGACTAGCTGTGGACTGAATTAGTCATTGCCTGAGTAGGCTCATGGGTGTGAGGAATGAAAATCATAAAAGTGTGAGTGATTATGTCCTAGAAGACTAAGACAAAAAACAAACACAATACTTTTATTTCTAAAATTGCTGAGACCATGAAAACATTAGTAAATTTGAATAAGTTCCAAAAATAAAAAAGAGGAGAGGCAATTATAAGATATGAGAAAGACATTTAGGTGGCAATTTCAGTCCTCAAAGAAAGAAGTATAGCAAAGCAAAATAAATAACAGCAACACATCTACTGCAAATTCCTGGCACTTAAGGCGATAAAGTATTTTCAAGTGACAAAGAAACTATCTGAGGGAAACAGTCTGAGAACTGTCTGTGTACCATAAATATAAGAGATACAGTGCATGATGAAATTTTGTTCTGGACTTAATTATAAAGTTTTGAGAATAAGAGGATGTTTGGTGTGAAGTCAAAGAACATGCTGGACCATAACTTTCCTTTCCCTATTTTTCCATGTGCTTATTGCTAGTATACTAGCAAAAAAATTCATTTTTGTATAGTTATCTTGTGTATATTCTATCCTGTGACCTTGGTGAACTTATTGATTAACTCTAGGAATAGTTTGGTAGATTTCTTCCAAGTTTCTAAGAGGTAACCATATCATCTGAAAATAGTTTTCTTTCTTTCTTTCCAATCTGTAGACCGTTTCCTTTTCTTGCCTTATTATGTTGGCAAGGACTCCCAGTACTGTGAATAATAAGAACGGTGATGACAGGCATCCTTCCTTACTGGCAATAGTACGAGGAAAGCATTCAATCTTTCACGATTTAGCCTACTACATTATTGATTTTGGAGCATTAAACCAGTCTTGAATTCCTCAAATAACTCCACTTAATTATGCTGTATAATTCTTTTTATGTATTGCTGTGTTTTATTTGCTAATATTTTGTTGAAAGTTGTTGCATCCATATTAATGAGGGATATTGGTCTGCAGTTTTCTTTCTTTGTACTATTTTTGTCTAATTTGGTATCAGATTAATACTATATTCAAAAAATAAAAAGTTTCCTCCCTCTGCTATTACTGGAAAATTACTGTTAATTTTTCTTTAAACATTAGGTAGACATCACCAGTGAAGCCATCTGCATATAAGGATTTGGGAAGGAGATTTTTTAAATGACTAGTTCAGTTTCTTTGGTGGTTATAAAGCTATTCAAATTAACGATTTCATATTGGATGAATTCTGGTAATTTGTGTTTTTCAGGGTTTTTTAGTCCACTTGATCTAAGTAGTCAAATTTAGGGGTGAAGATTTTTCCTTCTTTCTTTTTGTACTGAGTTTATTGAGTTGTTACTTTTTTTAGTTTTTGAGGTAAAAACTTATTTTGATTTGAGAGACATTTCCTCTTTTCTACTGAATGTATTTGGGGCTATAAATTTCCCTCTCTGTGCTACTTTATGTTAATTTATGCTTCATTTTCATTCACTCCATTGTATTTTTTTTATTTCCTCTTCTCTTTGACTCATGGTGTATTTAAGAAAATATGTTGCTTCCTTTCCAAATATTTGGTCATTGTCCGGTTGTTTTTCTCTTATTTCTAGTTTTATTGTGTTGTGTTCAGAAGGCAAGCTCTCTATGACATTAATTCTTTAAAATTTATTAATGTTTCTATTATAATCCAGAATAAGGTCTATGTTGGTCCTGGAGATGGGCACTTGAAAAGAGGAGTGTTCTGTTCTGTTAGAGTGAGTATGCTTTGTAAATGTCAGTTAGATCCTATTGTTTGAAGACATTTTTGCATTCTTCTAAATCTTTCTGGCTTTTCTTCTTAGATGTTCTCTGTATCATTGAGAAAGAAATGTTAACGTTTTGAACTAAACAGATTTGTATATTTCTCTTTCCAGTTTTATTACTCTTTGCCTCATATATTTCAAATATTTTGTAGTTCTCTTAACTAGTGAATGGGTACTTAAGACTTGTGTTCTTTGTGGTTGGTTCTTTTATCATTATAGAACAAATCTTTCTGTCCTCGGTAATCTTTTTCCTCTGAGATCTATTCTATCCAAAATTAACTTACCTACTCCTGCTTTATTTTGATTAATGTTTGCATAATATATATAATATATATTTTCCACCATTTTATGTTCATCCTTCCTATATTGTTACCTTTGAAGTTAGTTTCTTGTAAAAGGTAT